CCTAGAACAGTTTATCCCAGTGAGCGAGATAAAGGGTTAAGTTCAACATTCCAAATAAATTGAAGAAGGCCGAAGCGCACAACGGCCGAAATGTTGTAATAAATATGGCGACAAAGATGAGGACAATAGTCCGAATAACGTAAATAGTTTAAATTATTTGTTCGTTTAAGATGGAATGTTTTGTTATGACATGTCGCGAAATTGTATTACGATACATTTATTGATTTTCAATGTTTCTAGTTGAATTTTATTAATTTTCAATGTTTCTAGTTGAATTATTCTTCCATATTGTACAGGGAAAAGTAAACACAACGGACTAGACATGAACTTCAAAAATTGTAAAAAAAAAAATTATACTGAGAGAAGTAATCGGTTGAATTTAATAAAACTTATTTAGATGAATAACTGCTGCTCATATATATATATATATATATATATATATATATATATATAAAAATATCTATAAGAACATCGGATTATATATCTTACTGTTCTTTCTTTTTATTTCTATATATATATATAATACAATGAATAATTCATACAAAAAGTAAATTAGTAAAGCTAATGATATAAAATGGCGAGATCCCTTCGTTAACAAAATTTTTAAGGTGTATTAACCTACCAATCATTCGACGAATGTTATGATCATTGTTTTTTTTTTAATTATAAGCTGTGTACGGTCTTTATTTAATACACAAGTACTTTCGACTGTACATTCAGTCATCTTCACGCGTGGAAATTATTTTGTTTTTGGTAAAATTCAGGTAGCATCCGAGAAGAAAAATATAATATGTATTTTATATATTTAGTTGGATTGATGTGAGTTTGTGGCCCTGGGTTTCACGCTATTTGCGATCGTCAGACAAGTGATTAACTTTTAAATTTGGGATTTATATATAGTTGTGTATATCTGTGTTTTTATGGTAGTGGGAGGAAAAATTGTCTTCGGAAATTCACTCATACTAACGCAAACATACATACACGCACGTTCACTTCACGTTGACGTACGCAGACATACATACACGCGGTGGAGTAATGGATAGCGGCTAGGATTGAGGAATCGGAGAGCCGAGTTCGAATTCCCGTCGAGTCCATTACATTCACTTACGTTCTAATACCCTTGGAAAAGGTGTGAATCCTCTTCTTCTGCCTCCAGCTATGGGTAAATACCTTCTTCTGATCTTTAAGATTAGATCGTCCATATTGTGTGTGTATGTCACCACAAAATGTATCCTTTCCGGTTACATCTTTAATATATTAGACATCCGACAACATTCATATTTCTCTCACTTAAACTGTCTTCAGTCTCAAAAACTCCTCTCTGCTAAGTTTTAATCTCCCACCTTCTCTCGTCTGTTACCCCTCTCTTTAGCTCTAACATTCGTCCCACACTCTCATACTTACACTCTTTCTAAATTCTATTTTTATTCCCGGAGTTGTTTTCTTTTGAATTTGTAGGTCTAATGAATTGGATCATATTTACGATTCCAATGGAATAAATTATGACCATGGATATTAGTGTTTAATCCTTTTTTATATATATATATATATATATATATATATATATATATATATATATATATATATATATATATATACCGGCAAGATGAGAACGAACATAGTACAATTGCAACGTTCGTAACATTTAATTTAAAAGAGGGCTCAATTCAAAGTAGAGCAATATTATTTATTTTAGGATATTACATCGAAAACATGTCAAAATCGCTACACAATTGCAATCGTGTTTCGATACTTATCAGTGCATCTCATCAGACGATTGTAAATTGCTGACGAGAGATGCATTGATACGCATTGAAACACGACTGCAATTTTGCAGCGATTTTGACATGTTTTTGGTGCAATATCCTGAAATAAATATATATAAACGTTATTTTAGCGGAAGCACGTGTTTTAGTGAAACATGCACGTTTTTTCAAACTAACTAATTAACGCCCACCAACATTCACAAACAATTATGCTAATATTATAAATGATTGTAAAGTCTATAGTAATTATAGTTAATATTATATAGTATGAATTATAACTATTGTTCTTCATATGAAGTGTTTATTATAGTTAATTATTGTAGTTCATAGTATAATAATTAGTAATTATAATTTATTATTATATCAGTTAATTTGTTAATAATTAATTAAAACTATAATTTCTAAAACTAATTGTTAAAGAAATATTGTATTTTTATTTTTTTAATCCGACATAATTTTTATTACTTTAAAAATGGCCGCCAAACTTTGTTGATTTATTTAAGATGGAATGTTCTATTCTGTCATGTTTCTAATTTGTATTTAGATACATTATATTTATTTTCAAATTGAATTGTTCAGCTATATTGCATATGATCCATTATTGTACATAATTAAGTTACAATAAAATGTTCATTTTATATAAATAACGCCTTATTAAACAAAGTTGACTACTATCTTATGAAAATCGAAATGTCTTAGAGTGAAGTACGTATCATAGATTCGGTGTGATGGTGTCAAAAGGCCCTTGCACCGGCCCTGAATATATATATATATATATATATATATATATATATATACTTACACAAATCATACTCACTTCCTAAGAACCAAATAACACACACATTTAACAGAGACACATCCCCTTTCCAGGAACCAATAAAACTGTCAAAATGACCAAGGGAATTCAGAGCAGCTTGAATCCATCCAACTCTTATCGTAAATAACAACTTAAAAGAGACCTTTTTGACCAACACAAGGGCTGACCGAAATTCATGTTAAAAAGATTAAAAAAAAATAAATGAAAACTACAGATAAAAGTTAATTTTCTCCATCAAGTCATTCATTTCTGTAGTTCACTGCTACTAACAAGCAGAATTTTTTTAATCCTGATGATGGCTATGTTGGCAGAAACTAGTCGAGGAATCCAACTGAAATGATAAAAACGAAAGAATATTAAAATACAAACCAGTGTGTTTGATGATTTTCATTTTTTTAATAATTTTTATTGTTCAAAACACACACACACACACACACACACACACATATATATATATATATATATATATATATATATATTCATACACGTTTCATTAAATAATATAGATAAGTGTTGTCTATTTATTTTATGTAAATTCTTTTCATAACGTCTGATAAGCTTAATAACATTATCATTAAACGAAGAAAGAAAATCACAATATTGATCCATATTTTTTAATCCAATCTAAGCTTTCGGCTTACATAAGCCATTATCAAAGATGGCAATTACTGTACAACATATTAAGCAATATACGGACAAGACAGTGATGATAGTCTGTGATTGTTTACATGGATGGTTTCCAAGCATTTTTCTCGCAGACGCACTTGTTATAATTCTGGTATAGATAATAATCCCGAAATATATTTTGATATTTGTTCTGCCATCAAAGAAGTTGGTGACAAATATATTCTGCGACACAAAATGTGTTCTCTTGATGGTTTTATATCTCAAGGTCAACCAGTGAATGGCTGGACAGGGAAACTGTTTCTCGAAAGTGACCAGGACGTTTGTGTCAGGGTGTCAATCTGATGTACGAAAACGCCCCCACCCTGAAAAATTCGGCCATGCTGACAACAGAGTGGCGGCAGTTATATGAGGGTTAGGATCTTTTTTTTACCGCACAGACCTAGTTCCTGGTTGTTCCAGATTAACTTTTGTTTGGATAGCTCAAACAGACATTTATCTCGGAAACGATTCCATAAAGATGGTGCTGTTGTTGCAGAAGTGCAAAGGAGGCTCCGGTCCTCTGTCGCTAATGTTCTTTAAAAAGCGTAATTATGCGATGAGATAGGCGCATGAATCCTGACGAGAACTTCGTGATAATCTAACATAGTATCCTTCCGATCTCTGACGATGAAACCCGTCAGCGAGGATAAGTTTTCCTTTTGTCTTTATTCATATTCTCCTTTTACAGATATATGTTTTAGTCATATCGGAAATTTTACACATATATATGTACAGGTTTGTTGCTATTTGATAGACTTTGTGTCAACGATAATAGAGATCTCTTTTAACAGAAGGATATTTCATCTTCTAACATAAGGTGGCTTTCCAACATAACGATTGCCACTTTAAAATAAATGGAAGTTTTTAAAAAAGTATATTTGATTAAAAAAAATACCTAAGGAGCCAGACAAACCTACCTAGGTTTCACCTAAACGGATCGTCAGGGTAATGCTGAGTACCACCAGGCACGAGTACCACTATATATATATATATATATATATATATATATATATATATATATATATATATATATATGTATATATATATATATATATATAACGAAATCTTCTGCTCTGTGTGTGTGTGTTTAAACTTTTCACCCCAAGGAAGGTTGGAGGGCCACTAGCAGGCAAGGGGTTACAGAAAAGGGAGCCAGAGTAAAAAGGCATGAAAGAGGAAAAGGATGAAGCGAAGGACAGGGAATAGATCAAGGCATCTGGAGATGTCGATTGACATTGCATTTGAATAGTTGGAGATTATATCAGGAAAGCAAGTAAGAGGAAGGGAGTTTCACAGACGGGAAGTGCGAGACATGAAGCTATCGGAGTAGAAGAGACGGCTACATTTAACCGTTTCAACAGTGAAAGCGTAGGACCGAGATGCCAACCTATATATATATATATATATGGGGCGGCTTTGCGTTAGATAGATTTATCCTTGTAAATAATTCCGACTCGATGCCACTACATCCCCACTCATTGCACCTTCGATATATTTTCATTTTATATTTAATGAAAATTAAATCATCAGTTAAATTACTGTGACCCATTTTCCTAGGGAATAACACGATATTTTGTGTGGGTCGGGAAGCCAGCCATTGTGTGCGTAACACGATAAAATCAACACCCCACCCCCGACCAAGACCCTGGTACTTCATAATCCCTGCCCGTAACACGCAAATGGTTCTTCATTTCACTAATTCGCCATGAATTCTTAAATCAGCCGGCTTGTTATCCAGGCACATGGAAGGC